CCGCTCCGCCTCCCGCAATCTCTGCCCGCGAAGGGGCTCCTAGTGTGTGGAGACCTTTCCTCCTTCACGGCTCCCTCCCACTGGTGCAGGTACCGTCCTTATCCTTTTGTCTCTGTTTATTCTTTTTTCTCTTGCCCTACCCAGGTACGTGGGGAGTTTCTCGGCTTTTGGGAGGTCTGAGGTCTCCTGCCAGCGTTCAGTAGGTGTTCTGTAGGAGTTGCTCCACGTGTAGATGTATTTCTGGTGTATCTGTGGGGAGGAAGGTGATCTCTGCATCTTACTCCTCCGCCATCTTGGAAAGAGTCTCCTCTTTTTTTTTTTTTATCTTGAAAGCTTTGTTTCCCATTCTGGGTTGGTTTGTCAGGATGAAACTGCTACTGATGATTGTGTGGTGGGCCAAGGTGCTGTCTGTGAGCTTAACTCCTCTAGGTGTCACCCTAGAGTCGTTTCAGCTCTTTTACATGTCTTGGCTTTTCCCTTTGGCAATCTAAGACCGCCGTGGTTGCTCAGATCACTGAGGGGCCAGCTCTTATACGTGGCTCCCCAGAGGAGCAAGTTTTTTAAATTAAATAACTGGGTTTCCCTATGGGACTGCTACCTGGTATGAGGACTTGCCTCCACCACTCCTGCAAGTTTCTCAGTTGCCTGAGAAGGCCATTGCTGGCCGGGAGGAGATGTCCCTTTTCTTCTTCAGAGCTGAAAACTCTCATGTAACATTTTAACTTTTATTCTGACAAACTCAATTAAAGTAACCAATCCGAGGGAAAATAACAGGCCAGTCTCCTACCTAATCACTCAGTCTGAACCTACTCAGTGTTTTTCAACTGGGGCAACCCAGGTACCTCTTCTTGAAACTAAGTTCAAGGAAGACCTACTCCTCATAGGGAGGGGTTTATCCACCACCAAATAAAACTTAGGATCATCAGCCAATAACGGGAGATCCAGGACCCAGGAGAGACTCAACCAAATTCATCTGGAATCACTGAGGAGGCAGACCGGCACAAGGGGCCTCTGCTAGTACCAAGACTCTGGATCCTCATAGAGTTCAAAGGAGAAAATTCTTCTCTGAATCCTTTCATGGTCACCAAAACTGTTGACTGAAAGAAAAATGCACAACGTAAAAGTTGCGAGTTAAGTTTTATTCAGGGACCTTACTGAGGACTGTAGCCCAAGACACAGCCTCTCAGATACCTCTGAGGTATCTTATCCAAAGAGATAAGGGAGGCGCCAGGATATTTGAGTTTTTCTGCTGGAAAAACAAAAAAACACATAGTCAAACATCAAAAGATAATCACAAAGAACACACATCTCAAGCTAACAATTTTAGTGTTTTTCTTTGTATGGGAAGATGCAAGCATCTGAGTTCATTGAAATTATTCTTTAGATATGCATTTTAACTATCTAGAGCGAGTCAAAGCACAGAATGCTTCCTGAATTTCCTTCAGGGTGAACTGTCAGTGGGCGACTGCAGTGGCTAATGGCCTAATCCTTGCAGAACTGGAATGGCAGGCCCTAAAACTCATTTGGAAATTTGATTGATGCATGAAACCCCAAAGTCTTGAACCACATAAACTACGTACATGGGAGGGGATTTTTTGTTTTATTTTGTTTTAATTCTGGAGTTTCTACTATGCACTAGGGATATAAGGGAACATGGGAATAACTAAACTACAGCTTCAGAGGCTTGGATTCAAATCAGAGCCCTGCCTTTAGGCAAGTGAAGTAAACTTTTCTGAGCCTCGGTTTCCTCATCTAATGAGGATGATAAGAGTGCCTACCTTATGTAACACACTTAGTCTAGAGCTAGGCACATGTGAGTGTATTATCATTTTTATCTAGGCAACAGGAGAGCCATAGTAAACAACCACAGGCTATGAAAAGGTGCCTGAGGAAACAAGGATGGGGTAATAAGTTCCACCTGAGTATTGGTTTCATTGTTATTTTTGAAGTCCCTAACTTCCAGCCCAAAAGAGTACTTGTGTTCATTTCCACCAGATTATATTGGGTTCGCCAAAAAGTTCATTCAGGTTTTCCATAACATCTTACAGGAATCCGAACTTTTTGTCCAACTCAATACAACTTCAGGCAAAGCATTCCCCAGCTGTCTGCCTCAGTTCTCTAATCTATTAAAGAGGGGCAGTTCTTCCTAGTCCATAGAGTAGTGGAACTCAAACTCTGGCCAGTATCAGAACCACCTGGGGAACTTGGTAAAAATGAAAAGGCCCGAATTCTCCCTACTTCAATAAGTCTGAGCCTCTGTGTGCTTTACTATCTCCCTAGGTGATTCTGATAACACACCAACTTTCCAGACTGCGATAAAAGAATAAAAAACACAAGGTTCTCTGTTTAAAGGGTCATAAAGATTCTCATTACTTAAATCCCATTGTTCCACCTTCTATGGAGAGGTGAGGCACTTCAGGCTGTCCTCACATAAGTTGTATGTGCCCCAACCCTGGAGGAGCTGGACCTGCATCTCAGCATCCAGTGGGAATGAAAAGCAGAGGCCCTGGGGTCCTCAGTCCCTTGGAGCTCCTCTATAATCTAGTACCTATTTCACCAAGGGGGAAAGGGGAGCAATACCTTTCCCAGTATCACAATAGCTGTATGGTAGAGCTGTAGTGGAACCCAGAGCTACAGATGCCTGGACCAGTGTTAGAAAGGCTTATTTTGGAGGCTCTCATCCTGGAAGAATCCCTCTTGCCTGCTGACAGGTGGTACAACAAGTTGGAAGTCTGCAGGCTGTGCCCTGCAGGTTTTCTTGTAGGTGATGATATCTGGGAAGGGCCCCAGCCAAATTCTGATATTCCAGCAGCCCTGTTCCCAAAGGCTTGAAGATTAACTCAGGGTTCTTCTCCAAACCTGCAGAGGAAAGCAAGAACTAGTCTGTTTTTTTTTGGCCGCACCGCATAGCTTGTGGGATCTTAGTTCCCTGACCAGGGATTGAACCTGGGGCCACCACCACAGTGAAAGTGCCAAGTTCAGACCATTGGACAACCAGGGAAGTCCCGAGAACTATTCTTTCTTTTTTTTTTTTTTTGGCAGATATATTTCACATACCATAAAATTTATCCTTTTAGGGATTGCTTGTTAAGAGTTTAGACCCAG